CTGTCTTGTGGCAGGATTCGGTGTCAGAATCCTTCTCCGAACTTGACAGGCTCACCTGAAGAGTCGTCTTCTTTTCTTTTCTCTGATTCCGTGTTGAGCCACCGCGTTGAAACCTTGGTGACACTTTTTCACAGTCACCTCCCGAATGATGGCATGATATGATTGCACAACAGTAATAACGACTCCTAACAGAACACTCCTGGTCCTAATAAACGACACTCAGATAGACAATTCAATCAAAATACCTGTTCGGGAGCATCCCGGCCGCCCCTTGCCAGAGCGTCAGCAAATGGATATCAATTATCTTCTGCTTCACCGAGTGTCGCGGCTGTACCTGAGATAGATGTTAGGGAATCCAAGAGAAAGTCTCTCTATGAGCCATCATCATCCCGGAGCTAACACTTCGTTATGATTCAAAGGTACCTTCCCCATAATGCGATAACGCATGTCGAGATGGCCGCGGCTTGCATTGTGCATTCGGTCATTTCCGATGCCTAGAAGGGTTGCTAAGCATCGAAGCCCCACAGGTTTGCCGAGAAGTTTCCACTGCTTGAGGTTCGTCCCGGCAGCAGAAGCCATTTGATGAATCTCAGTAGTAGGCTTTGACAATTTGAGGTGTTCCCGTTCCCCATGAAATGGCAAGGGGTGGACACTATGTAAAATCGTTCTCCGAAACTAAGGATGTAGCGTAGTGATCTTGAACAGGCTTGCGGAAAGACCAGAACAGTTTGAGGAACTTCAGAATCTGGTCTTCTTTGAACATTCTGAAACATTGGCTGCGCTTGCAGCGGCAATGCTTATCAAAAAGCACCCTCTTCACCCTTTCAGCTGATCGGCCATTCACATCCTGCCTCAGCTCTCATCCTGGTCTCCCCAAATGTTTGTCCCCAAATGTTATGGCACAAACATGCACAAAAACAACAAAACGGTTCAGAGATTAAGCATGGTGCAAGAAACCGTCTCCGTTCAATCATTGAAGCCATGAACTTCCTTTTTCGATCATCGTAGTTGGGCCGCTTCCGAGGTATGTCAGGTACCCCCGTGTGGGCAGTGTGTGTCAAATGCTGATTCTGAAACTCGAGCAATGATTCCCACGACAGGTCGATAACCACCCCTTTCTTTTGAACTTTGTTCTCTTCCACTCGCTCTTTCTTTACCACCGACTCCAAGAACGACTTACGAAGAGCTGGCCCAGATTCAGGTGCATCATCTCTGCGATCATCAACCAGAGAATTAAAGAACCTAAAGAGGGGAAAGAAGAGAGCCCAGCCAGTAGTGAGTGGATAGTGGATGACGATAATAGAAGAACTTTGAGGCAATAACACAGCAAATGAATTGCACTTAAATGCTAATCAAACCCACCTACATAGCAAACGTTCAACCATGACGGTCACATAAAGATTGCAGCCTAGAAACCTCAGGCGGGTAGGATCTCTCCCGGGAGGTGCTTGAGCCATATGCTCTCAGAAATCATCAACCCCTGAATGATATGAAAGGACCCCTGAATGCAGTGAAATAGCCTTCTATGTCGATCTCAGCCTCAAGCAATAACTGCACCACTCCTTGATGTCCATTCCGAGTTGCCAAATGCAAAGCCGTTTCCTGGGCAGTTCTTAGCTCTCTTTCGGGAAGGAAAACACAATCCTTTAGCAAACCAAGTCAAGTGAGATTCTCAGGTTCTGAGGTTCTAAGTGCAAACAAACTTCCCCAGTAGCTGTGAACTTGTCTTTGTCCGCGCCAGCCTCAAGCAACAAACCTAAACACCTACCATGCCCGTTCAAGGCCGCGAGATGTAGTGCCATCTGGGGTGTACCATCCCCAGAATCTGGGGAAAGAGGCTTTTGCAGCAGCTCTTCAACTTGGTACCAACGATTTGCGCCACATGCAGCGATGAGCTTTATACCCAACTGCTCTTCCTGCAGCAAAGTGAGGACAACCAAAAGCACCTTCAATGGAGGTGTCAGAACCTGGGCTGATTGATTGGTCTGCTGAGCATGTTCTTCTTTTTCTCCAATGTACTGAAACCACATCGATGTGGTGATCGCCCCCCACATCACCCAACGTACTACGAAACGAGTCAAGTCAGTCACTTGTGTTCAGTGATTGGCTCTTCTGGGGTGTTTGGCTCTTCATATGACAGGCCGTTGTTCGCAAGAAGGATGCAAAGATTGGTTATATCGTTTGGTTCCACAGGAGCCCACTGTGTTTTGTCCAACATGCTTCGGGTTCAGCAAGGATGTCCTTGTTCAGTTTCTTCAACATCTATCGCTTTCGGACGAGGGTGTCTTGGTTTGTGGATGAGATGAGTATCACGTATCACCGATGACACGACGGGCCGCGACGTGAGTCATCCGGCCTTCACCGGTCACACCGGTCACTTCGACAAGAGCAGGCGAAGACAAGGGCCATTGGTCAAACCGCTGCGAGATATTATTTAGTGACTGCATCGTGAATATGGTCAGTTTGCTGGAATCTCTCCTCCACTTGGGCCTTGGCTTGAAAGTGCACTCCGGGCTGACTGCAACTGAGCCTTCGAACATATCCGCCGACCCCACTCGCGGGGTCAGGCGTGACTGTTGATGAAGGCTAAGGCTATGATTAAGGCTAAGGCTAAGGCTAGACTAAGGCTAAGGCTATACCTCCCCTACCCCTCCGGAGCCTTGTTGCAGTGACGAAAAGTAGCCAAGATTTGTCCAAGATTTGTGCAAGATTTCTCCAAATGTATTGGTTTGCTTCTTACTGGGGATTGGGGCACCCTCTCCACCCGCGCGGAAAATAAGCACGGTCCCTAAATGGTCCCGGGCTCGAATCCCGGGCTGGTCGCGGCCTGGTCCCTGCCAGTGCCCTTGGTTTTTCCTAGATTTTGCAACCTTTTCCGCTGGATTTCTAGGATTTTCAAAGGTTTTTGTAAGATTTACTCATGCCCTTCAGACCTTTTGCGAGGGTGTTGTCCAGCATTTCCTCTGGTTTCTCTAGGTACTTGTAAAGGCCGTGTTGTTTTTTGGGTTCCCAGATTTGCAAAGAAAAATGCTAACCCATTTTCCTCCACTTGCAAACGTTTTCCGCTGGATTTCTAGGATTTTCGCAGGTTTTTCAAAACTTTACTCATGCCTTTCATGCCTTTTGCGAGGGCTTTTCCGGGATTTTCTCTGGTTTTTCTAGATAGTTCTGTCGTTGTCTAGGGGCTCCGTGTTGTTTTTTGGGAACCCAGATTTTCAAAGAAAAATGCTAACCCATTTGCCGTGCTCTCTTCTGCCTACTTTGGTGATGCAGTGACAGATCCTGTCTCTAGGGGTTCCGTGTTGTTTTTTTGGTTCCCCGATTTTTAAAAAAACTCTTAACCCATTAAACCTATGCCATCCACTTCCCTGGGGGTCGGCGGCTGCCAGGTGCTAGCCTGGTTAAGTATATGTATAATATGTTTACTTACCTATACCTTTTCCACATGTGTCCACTACTTTTGTGGCTAACCCTTTTGCATCCTTTTGAAAAGGCATCTAAAATATTGCGACAACACTTCGAAGAAAAAGCACCCACAAAATGCCCGGCTCGATTTTCCCAAGTGGTGGCAACTATCCGTACTGAAGCATCTAAATGAAATTGTCTAACCAAATGATCCGCAGTTTGCTCGAGTGAAACTCAACTTCGTCGACGTCGATGCCTGGAGTGCAAAGAAACCGATTGCCAAGAAAGACAAGAAACTGCGTCGTCATGTATCCTCGTTTGGTCAGTTGGCTGCAAACAAAGGGTCATTGAATCAATGTTGACTAGCTCTGACATTGACAACAAAAGCTGGGGACCAACACAGGACACGATAGAGGAAAGCAAACCGCAACCCCAAAATGCATGTGTTTTTCATGTACAGTGTACAGTATATTATAGATCTCCTCGTGTTCAGAACCTCTGATGATGCCCTCTGCGCGAATCTAATGAATCATACAATGGAAGCATCCCAAAAACAAGAGTTTCTTCTAGATGTCCATTCAACATATCTGGCAACCAACAAATCAGACTGTGCCCAAATCAAATCTTAAAAACCTTTGGAGTTCCTAAAGCAAACTGCGAGAATCTCGGCATAGTCTTCATAGAACCATCTCTGTTGAAACCTCGTAGCTCCAATCTCTTGGAACACCAACCTGGCGCGACCGGCTGGGCGGAACAAGCGTCCAGCCCCACTCCTTTCCCTGATCAAGCAGTTCCTTGTCACAGAAGAACACCTAACACCTTAGATTCTAGATTCCTTGCTTGGTCCCCTCTGCCAGGAGCCGCCAAAATTCACCCCGACCAGGTCTTTTGGATTCTTTCGGGGGGCCTCTCCTCCTGCTGCTGAGTGGTCATCTTTTCCATTTCTGGTCTTTTACAATATGAAAACCCAAACACCTTCAGATTCCTCGAAATCTCTTCCATCCAAATGTCCACTCCAAAGTGCCTCTTCAACACTTTCACCACCTGCTCTTCCACATCGATCGCCGCCAGCTGCACCAACACTTCGCCCGACACTGCCGAGCAAAGCTCCACCATACGGCCGGCGCGGCTTGCACCAAGCCCGGCGCGGCCCGCTGCGCGCGCCGTATGAAGGTGTAGAGCCAAAGTTCGTTGGGAAATCAGACATAGCAAAACAGCATGTCTTAGGTCTATCCTATTACCAGCGACGGTGGATGATCGTTCGTAAAATGCATGTGCTCCCCAAATAGACAGAAGCGGCGAACCCAATACATGTTGAAGAAAAACAAGTCTCCGGGCTTCGGCGAAACAAGATCTCCAGCCCCAACATGTTGATTATATATATATAGGTATGCGGTATGCGTGCAAACATCATGGATGTTTATACTAATATCCTAATATCATCCAATATATTCCAAAATATACCAACATATTCACTACTTAAGGCAATTTCAATAATAAAATTTAGAATGTTACAACATGTCGTTACAACCCAGGTCGAGAATCCCTTATATATCATATACTTCCTGTCCTTCACCTTCGCACTCAGTCCTAGCCTCGAAGGTCAAAGCTGGTGTCTCCTGTGCATCCTTGGTCACCGGAGTGGGAATCAGAGACACGGAGAAATCAGGTATAGACAAAACCCCCAAAGGAAATCGATTTGGTCTATTTAGCAACAATTCCAAGGGTTCCTTTAGCTAGTCTTGTTGAAAGATTGTAAACGAAACACTAAAAAGTCATTCTGGATTAGTTCGTCCTCGACCTGATCAAGGTCTCACATCGACTCGAATTTGTTTGCATTGTCAGAGACTTCCCTTTCCCTTCCATTGGTCCAATGGGACCGGATCTGGGCTAAACTCGCACACCACTCGCTCCAGCTCGGTCGGGCAAACAAAATCTGTTTGGCTCCAGCTGCGCTCATCAATCAACAGATTGTTGAGATGAGCAGTTTCATCAAACTCTCATCAATCCAGCTGGCGGTTTCTTTCTTTCTTTCAACAATCTTTCAACCGAAAGAAAAGCCCCAGGTCTTCACTCGAGGGAGTTTCCACCCCTCATCTCTTGAGAGTGAGGCGCTGTGCCCAAGGCCTGCAAGTAGCTGGCGATGAGCCGCAGCGTGGGAAAGCCCGGCGGCACGTTCGCCTGTGGAGGCACCGCTGATCCGATCAACTTGTTTGGGGGGGGACAATAGCTACTGCTCATTCGGTGCATTCATGCGCATGGAAACAGTGGGTCACACCCGGATCAGGGACGTTGGAAGAAAAACATGGTGACTGGGACGAGGGCGTGGGACAAACATGGACACACCATAGAATTATACAAGCATAGACCCCAACCAGCTTCAAAACGATTCGTTTAGACCAACATTAGTCAAAAATCGATTTCTTGGTGCGCCCTACTTTGGGGAAATACCTAACAATTCTAACAAACACATTTCCGCACCACAAGTGGCTGCGGAAATGTGAAGTCTTTGGATTAGTGTTCAATGTCACGGTGGACACAATCACACAAATTGAAACAAGATAGAGCGGTTGCTGGTTCCTTGGATATGAGTGATTGCTCAAGGAACAAATACGACTAAACCACCAAAAAGTGACATGCGATACGTCCGAGTTCGCACCTCAAGGTCCTTCCACACAAGTGGAGTACCCGAGGGAGATAGTGTAACCACCAAAAGATGTTAGAATTTGGAACATACGACCGATTTTGTTCTGGTCAAGGCACTGCCACAACACCGACCTCCTCGAGCAAGCGCGGCAAGGCTTGCGCCAAAGGTCCATCTTCAATCCACAAAGGCTGAGGCACACGGTTCAAGGAATCATAGGCATCGATGAGAACCTCAAATTGAGCGTTCGGCCCTAAGCAGGTAGGCACCAAAACATGATACGCCCTCCAGGATGGCTCAAAGCGCTCAAGAAAAGAGCATTCATTGAACCACGTCAAATCCATCCGGTTGACAGGAGCACTCCTGTAGCCCTGCGTGGAATCCAGGTAGTCCCGCGTCTCCATCTGATCTACAATAAATGAACAAACACATCTAGAATCCAAAGTGAAACCACACAACGTAGCAAGGGGCCTGCTGGAAATGCCGGACCTTTAGCTCTGCATAGGTAACTGTTGGCTTCTGACAATCAACCGTTATCATCTTCATCTTCATCACGCCCCGAACATAATTGCAGCTCCTGCTTCATTGCCTAAAGCAGTGACTCTTCAAACATATGTGTTGCATATATCAGAATATCATATATGTTGCATATGTTGCATTATTTTCCGTGTTGCATCTTTGTCGAATACCTCATTGCACTACATTTCAGTTCATTCCGTTTCATCAAACTAACGTTGCATGCCATTCGTCAACTCTCTTGCATTTCATTATGTTGCATTACGATACATGTCCTCTTGAATCATTTCTGGATGTGCACAGCGCGTGTCAGTACATCTTCATCTCACTCCATAACCATCAGCGGCGAGGTTCAAGGTAATTACTTTGCACAGGTTCGGATCTTGCCAGCAACCTGTCTTCATCCATGCGGTTCGTCGTGAGAACATGCGCATCATCCTCCGTCACCGTCATGAGATCGTGGCAACCAACGGCTGTTTGGTTCTCGATCAACTGAGATCTTGATCGGACAAAGGCGCTACGGCGCTACGGCAGGACCTAAGCTGAAACGTCCGTTGCGACTCTTTGCAGAAGGGTCCGTTGCTCCAGTCACCGCCATGTAACAGGCTTGCCAAGCTCAGTCAAGCTAAACGGAGGAGTCGTTGTGCAGTCTGCCAATCGTGGCCAGTCAGTACGATGGCCAAGAGCATTCAGCGGCCAGCGGCTAGCGGAACTTGAGGCAATCATACCCACAAGCAAGATCAGAGTTTAGGTGGAACGTGCTCTCCTAGTGCTCTCCTAGTTCTTGTTTAACAGGGTGTGCTCCCCAACCCACATCATGGGACGCTTCGCATCTTGTCGTTGTTGCACATGTCTACTGTTCTCGCGCTGCTTGGCCACGGCGGTCAGGTCGACCGCGGTGGTTACAGGGTTGCGCGCGGTGGTTCGCTGGTTCCACAGCGGCGTCCGTGAGGAAGTTGATCATCAAAAACGCCACCGAACCAGACATCCCTTGTGAATGACGGGTGGCCGCATCGTAGCGCGTTCCCTTGTCCGCAGCCCATCGCTGGGCAAGAGCAGCACCTGAGTGATGAAAACACTTTCGGATCGGAGGCCACAGCGGCGACGACGACAGGATACCTGAAGAGTAAGCCCGAACACCGTTGCTGCGGATTCACTTGACCATTGGGGGTCGCTAGTGTGACATCTTCTGATGACTGCTTTCAGAGTGACAAGTATGTACATTACAAGAAAAAACTGCTGCTGCTCCTTGAACGCTTGGTTAAAGCGACTGAAAACACTGGCAACTTGCCCGAGTTATCAAACATCATGATGCAAACTGTGCATTGCGTCTCTATCTGAGTCACTAGCACCACACAATTAGAGCCAAGTCGCCGTCTCCCTCAATGGCACGCAAGCGTTGACCCATCCGTCCACGCAGGGGCGAAAGGTTTCGATCACCTGCAAAGGGCGACGAACCAGACCAAAATGATGGTCAACATAGCAGCGTCCTTGCTCCTAGTAGCAATGCCAAGGAGCTACTAGTAGCTTCTTGCTCCTAATGGCAACATGACGCCGCCCTGAATGCTCCGGACATGGCACGAGCCCAACAAATGCACTTTCACTTGCCGGTGTCTGTGGGTGTTTGGGTCTGTTGGACTGCATGCAAAGCAACGCAGAGTTGATCAGCCCAAACTCCACTCTTTCCCACCTCTCACTCCACTCAATCACTCCATGGACAAGTGTTGCTTCATGGTTGATAGTTGACGCGAAGAACCACATGCACCAAGTGTCACACGCAAAAATTCATCTGCAAATTCTTGCAAATCACTCCTATCCTATCCGCTTCTCAAAACAAACATGATCCCTCCCCACGCGGCACGGGACTCGTCAACCCCGCTGCCCCCCACCTGCACCAGGCACCTCGATGGGAAAGCCCAGAACCTCGGATGCTGCCTGGATCACCGTTCCCTGCGCGCGGAGCGCAAGAGCTTGAGAGGAGTCCGAAGTAGTGCCACAAGTGCTGGCCTTTGACCACGAGCATTTGGTAGATGAATCTGCGAGTTGACTATTGTTTTCCAGTGCGGAATGAAGCGGTGCAAAGCCCCATGTGAGAAGACCAACCGCAAGGGTTAATTTTCAGGCGTGCGATTGCAGGGTTGCATCCAAATGAATACTTGAAGCAAAACTGGGGAAACCTTGAAATATCTTGAAATATGTATGAACTAGTCAAACACTTTCAAGACCAACAAAAAGAAAAACAAACGCCAAGATCTTGGGTGATTCACCAACTCATACGTACCCCTAGTATCAAAACTCGGTCCTAATCATTCATCGATGGCATCGCTGCGCAAAGCGCACAAGTCGCGGGTTCCAAGCCTCGAGTTCCACCACGTCTACCTGGCTGTCTGGAAACAGCTCCGCCAGCCACAGGGGCACCGCACTGGAGCCTGACGGGGACTGGTTGGGTCTTTTGTGAAAAGTCAATGCTGCCCAGGCATGAACAAGGAGGATCGCAAATCATCCGCTCCTATTCCAGCGTTTGGAGCTCTTCCTAGTACAGCGCCATCACTTGAGCAATGACTTCTGATGCTAGTGATGCTAACTAGAATAACAAGCATGTTTTGCACAATATTGCACAATCAATTTGATGTATCAAGCGCACATGCACAAACCACCACAGAAAAGAACATCATAATAAAAGCTTGGGCTACATACATGCAAGCTACAAATGCAAATTAAAGTAAATCCTTCAAATGACAATGTTTTTTTCCTAGTTCGATCCCCAGGAAGAAGGGGTTTTCTTGACCAACACCCATTGGTTGTCTCCACATCTTCCAACTTCAGCTCTCCCCACCTAAGCCAATCACCAGGATCTTTGGACGTTCCACGTGCAAAAGCTTCAAGGATGCAGCGACGGCAGCGCCCAGTGTCTTGGGATAGTTCAAAGCTAAAACCTCGCGGAGGTGTTCTGCAAAGACGTCTGGATCAGCTCACAGGTTTAGCAAATGTGTAATGTTCTATTCCAAAGATTGGACTATGCGAACAACAAATTACCATCGTTCCTCTTTGTCTGAACAACTGACGGCGTGCGTCTGCCCTTCCATCCCAACGCCTGAGGATCTGCCTCCGGGAACCAGCGACCATCAGGGCAACAGGTCACCTGCATTCAGTGCAGCGTGCATAGCGCAGCTCTGGCGGGTGCGGGGTCGAGGGGGTTTTGGAGAATAGTTTTCAACAGTCGAGAGTCATGGGTTCCAGGTTAGCATGCTGAAGCTGGTTCGGGTGCTGGGTGCGAACCTTTTGAACTCGAACACCATCAGTTCCAGGTCTTGCGATGTCTTCTTTCCAAAAGGTGAGTGCTTTGGCTCCAAAGGCTACAGTGAGCCGAACCCCAAATGGCACCGAACGCACCCAGTCGTTGACTTGAGCGGTCGCGAAATAGAGAAAGTACTTCAATACAAAGGAACCTCACGTGATTTGGACCAGAGCATCACTGGTAATACAAATACACGCACTTGGATCCTCCTACACAATAACATACTTGTGAATATATACCGTGTGCTTTTGGATCCCTCACCCGCTGCGCTCCAGAGACACCTTGGAGACGGACTGGATGAAAGGTGGCCCGGCATCCTGGGCACCGACGATGAAAGCGCCACTCCAAGCAAGGTGAAGTGAGTTGAGAGGTGGCTTTGGAAGAGATGTCGGCCTCCTTTTACCGGCAGTTTTACCAAGTACCAGCTGGCCTTTTCCAAAAGCTTGAACGTGGGATCTTTGGAAGTGCACCATATCATCCCTGTATGCTACGAAATCAAACACATTATATCATCCAAACTGAGAAGCCTTCAAACATGTTCAAACCATCACATTGGGTTTTTCACCCAAAGGCGCCGGTTCGCGCCTGCGCTTCACAGAGTGCTCCCTCGACGATACTGGGGGTCAAACCATCACCGGGGGCAGAACACCCATGGAGTGCTGGAGGTTGAACCCCAAGAAATCCATTCAAACTTCCAGAACAAAGTTGATGAACTGAAAAAAACACATGTTGAGCTGCATACTTTTCGCCCAAGTCCATCGATCTCTCTGTGTAACACTTCCCTCAAATCTCTCCTCTCATGGCTGTTCTCTTTCATTTCCATCTCCTTTCTTCCGGACATCCGGATCGCGTGGCCTCCGTTTCTGCGGGCTCGAAGATGAGACTACGCCACTCTTGATAGCTTCCAGAAGGCCAACCCTTGGGCACCTGGGCCGGCACCCGGTGCCCAGTACGGGGGACCGAGTCGGTCGGAGAAGCGTGGAAGAGTGAGTAGTTGTATGTCACCCTGGTGAACCAGCAGATCTGTAGAACACAATAAGTATTCTTAGAACAATCAGTGTTTACCATTTTTTACCCCCCCCTCGTGGAAGGTCTAGAAGGTCTAGCAGGTCTGAGATTCCATTCATGAGGTCCACTCCCCCTGAATAATCTGCTCAGGGAGCAATCGTAGTCGCAGTCGTCGTCATCGGTAGTAGTTAGTAGTTAGTAGGTAGTAGGTGGTGGTGGTGGTGGTAGTAGCAGCAGCAGCAGCAGCAATAGCTAGTACTAGTAGCAGCAGCAGCAGCAGCAGTAGTAGTAGTAGTAGTAGTAGTAGTAGTCGTAATAATACGAAAAATTGACCTGGTTGTGGGGTCGGATTAACTGGGGGGGATATGGGGGGATGTCTGGTAGAAAACTAGACCATAGGGGGGGGAAATCAACAACCAATACATGGGCAATTTCCGGCGGCTTTGGGCTCCGATTGACTAGGGGAATTTATTAATCCTAACTTTACATTATATAGTGAGCATGTTTTGGTTCTCTCTCAAATCATTGAGGACCTCGCCTGTTGTTCAGATGCCTCGTAGCCACGCACTGACAAGGTACCACCGCAGGAGAGCGGCAAGAGGAGCCTGACGTTGAGGGATCGCTAAGACTTCTGGGAGCATCACCAAGAGTCTAGGTGGAGCTAAGAGTCTAGGAGGTGATGTCATCCCAAAATCGTGTCCAAATGTGTCCAGAGTCCCCAAACAGTTCATGCAATGCCCAAACAGTTCATGCAATGCTGCAAGAAAGGATGCTTTATGATGGTCATAGGCCTGAAAGATCACACTTCTTTTTTTTTCCGAGGGAGCACCACATTTCAGCTACTCCAAAAAGGAGACCCTTAGAACAGCACCATGTACACATGTGAACGAAAAGAACAATCCCTCGCTGTCCTCACTTCAAACAAATAGGTCCTCTTCAACACTGAGTATTTAGGAGGTTCTGATTTCTTCCGAGAACGAACGCCCCAACATTCGCAAGGTCCCATGTCGAGGTGGCCCTTGATCGGAACGACCTCTCAGCACCACATCTTTGGGGGGTCCAAATGAAAACAAAGCATCTCAAGGCCCACCTTCCACCTTCCGCAGCGCCCTATCCAAGATCCAAAAAGAAAAGGGCCCATCTGCCTCACCCCTTCCCCCCCTCTCTGCAGGGATTTCCGCACCTCTCTTCTCCAACGCCACTGAACTCATGTCGCAGCTCACGCCTCGTCGAACGAATCAAACCCTTTCGAGGAACCAACGGCGTCGGTCGGGGTGACCGGCCGTCGAGCTGGCGACCTGAGGCCTGTGGACCAGGCATCTCATGTGATCCGCGGATCTGTCGCGATGGTCTTTGTGGCTGTTTGTGTCCCCAGTTCCCTGTCCCCAGTTTGCTGCCTCCAGTTCCCTGTCCCAGTTCCCTGGTGTTCGTTTTGAACCATACAATATGAAGCCAACATAGCCAAACACACCGAAGCAAGACACCTATTCTCGGGTGCCGTGGAGCCGGCGATTGGTGTCTTTCTTGCAGCTGGGCACGTCACGCCGTGTGAATTGTGCAGGGAGTGGTTGAAAGATGTTGACAGCACATAACGAGATCACGGGCACATGAAAGGCCAAATATCGATGTCGCCCTTTTGGATCGGCTCTCCATCACACCCCCAAACACTTGTGGGATCTTGTGGGTGAAAACCTGCATGCGTCTACGCGAACATGCCACGGGACCGGACAGAGTCCGAGATGCCCGCACTAAGATCCCTGTTATATGCCACCAACCAACTGGAGCGTTTGGGAACCCGTTTCAATCTGCAACCAACAGACATGTCACACAATCTGTTGATTGGATCGCATCTCTCCAAATCGATCCTTCCTCCCAGCTCTACCAGACCCACGCGCACGGAGCGGTTCGAACCTCGCCTCCCAGGGTCTTTCGGTTTGGACTCGTCGAAGGTGAAGAAGTTGGGCCCCACCGGAGCGCCTCGAGCTTCGACGACCGGGAGAGCGACTCGCGACTCTTGCGCGCGGGTCGGGTGGCTGGGCTTCTTTCGGGTTGAGACCAACCGAGGCGCTGAAGGGTTGAGTGGCTGCTTCATCCAGGGTACTGTGAGTTGGGTGACACCCAATCAATGGGTGTTTCATGGTCCATTGTCCTTCTTCCAGGGGGTTTTCGTTGCCTGGGAGGTCTTCCTATTTGAGCTACACACCCACATGTGCGACGATCAACACTCATTGTGTGGTGCGACGATCAAATTCATGATATACCTGGAGCCCAGAACACGTTGTTTTTTGTTTTTTTTTTTTTTTTTCAGGTGCACCCCCCCCAAAATCATCCGCTGTAAAACTTCTTTTCGTGCTCAGGTGTTGGAGGGACACTGGACACTTGTCAAAAAAGTCCAAAGATATGAGAAGAAACATTGCAGAAAGACACATGTCATGTTTTCCTTCAAAAGACCTCCATGGCAGCGGAGGACGACTACTTGATGAAGCAACTCTTGTGACCCTGCGAGAGAGACGCTCCAATTAGGCGCGCGCGCGCCCCCGGAACGGCAAAAGAGGTTCCAAGAGGTTTCTAGATGTTTCTAGCACAATTGGTTTTCAAATGTCAAGTTTACTGACTAGGACAAAACGTCAAGAATCTTCAAAAGGTGTTATATCCTATAATATCCTATATATAGATACAAGTACTTTCCTAGAAGGTGCTTGGAAAGGGTTTAGAGTGTCCAATTACATTCTGAGGAGGTACAACTGGAGCCCTACTGACAAAAATGACAGAAACAAACATGTTGACTTCACAAAGCAGAGGCAAAAGTCAAAGCTCGATCAGGTATTGCAGATTTTGACTGAAGAAAAACAGCTAGTGGTGAAACTGGAGCGTTCATGACTGGATCATGATGCGGAAAAAACAACATGATTATGTAACACTATAGACATCTAAGAGACTATATACTATAGACCATTATAGGCGGCTGATTCCGTAACCCTAATATGTGACATGAGCAACATGAGAGCGAAGTTGAGCTGAGCTGAGCGACTCGCAGTGTTTCTGTTCGTTCGTTCGTTTGGACCGTCCATCTCGATAGGAGTTCCGAGCCAGGAGAGGGCGGCGAGCCTCCCCCCGAACGCCCTCGCGGTTCCGGTGATCGGTGAGGACCCACGCTGTTCCCGCCCGGACGGCCACGGTTGGTCAAGCTGCACAGCACGAGCCCGAGGAGTCCCACCTGGTCCGGAGAATCGGTACTAAGGACATGTGCAGATCGGTGATGGTGATGATCTGCACATGTCCTGTGAATTGGCCTCCCCCTCATTGTTTGATCATATGGGCTGAAGTTACTCAGATTCGCCGAGCAAAACACGAAACGCTCTGAGTAACTGGAGGTGGATTGTACTGCCATCCCCGGCCCCCTTTCGAGCCGTTTTTTCTTTTTTTTCTGGAAGGGTCCAAACCGCACACAGAAGGTGTTCAGGTCACACGGAAGGAGTTCAGTGTACCAGGTGTCTGTTTAGGTCACAGGAGTTCAGTTCAGTTTCACTTCTATTGACTTTGAGGTCCAAAAGAACTGTTGGAAATCCAGCCGTAGAATTATATACCCGAAAATACAGTGTAGAAGCCTGGAATAGATTTGCAGGCGGGATGAGGATGCTTCAGGAAAGTTGGCAAGCAGATTACCAACTTCCTAGGACAGGACGCCTCAAAACCTTCACTTGATTCTTAGATCCTTGATTCTTAGGGGTTGACAGTTTGCATTTTACACCAACCAAATACCAGGACCTTCCAAGTCCGGTGGTTTTGGGACACCTCCTAAACCTCTAAGAGGCTATTTACAGACACCTCTTGGTGTCGGTCCTGGTAGCGAGCCTGGAAAACTAGAGTTTGACAGCCTCAAATTTTTGGTCGATTTCATTATTAAACGTATTGCTGGTTTTAGGCTTGGCGGCCAAATCGTGGCCCAGGCCCCTTTGAGGCCTAAAACCTGTAAGCTAAAGAGGGTAAAACCATGCAGCTCCCAGCCTTAAACCCTAAAACCTTAACAGCAAAAGCCTAAAACCTCGAAGCTTCTAGCCTAAAACCCTAACACCTTAACAGCAAAAGCCTAAAACCTCGAAGCTTCCAGCCTAAAACCCTAAAACCTTAGCAGCACACCAAGAGGTGTCTGGCCCGCTCCCGCCCTGGCCCGCCCTGGCCCGCTCCCGCAACCTTCCAGCGTGATGCGGAGGTCAGGTGCCTCCGGCCGGCAGGGTTCGTGTCGTGGCGGCTCAACTTCCATGCTGGACCTTCACCAACAGTAGGTCTACATGCTCTGCTGACTGTAGAATAAAATTAACATTCAAGGAGGAGTACTTGCGGTGAGGTGCAAGGAAGGGTGATGTGTGTAGTCAAATATAATCGGATTCTCTGGCATGGGTCAGGCAGCGACTGTAGATGACTTTAGCATACTCACTCATTATAGGGATGAACCCAAAGTCTCTCAAAATCACTACCTGTACATACGTGTAAACGTTGGCAAAGTTCTTTTCACCATCCCAACCGATGTACCGAGTCAGAAACAAGCTCCAAGTCGCGAGTAGAAAGATGCGAGTACGGTCTGAAAGATGCGAGTACCAACTCTATGCATCACCTGTGGAGGATGGTGGATGAACTCTGAAATCCATTGACATCCCCTTCTCGTCCCTTTCAAGGAAGGCATCGGTCCCAGAACGATGGGTTCCTGTAGATGTAGATGGTCCTTGAACCCAACACTGGCAAAGTACAAGTAAGGAACAATCATGAAACATCGACCGGCCAAACGCTCCAAGCGTCCAGTTCCACCCCCTGTCTTGAGTCGTTGCTCACACCTCCCCTGGTCACCGGTCGGATACCGTGGTCCGGCGCGCCTTCGCTCTCGCGGCATGGCGAGGGCGGGTTGGTACACGAGTGACCGGTGTGCGGCCAAGGAGTTGCCGTGAACGGCAAGGAGGTCTACGGCGCAATGAAGCAAGTACTGTATATGTTAAAATGCACGTTTTCAGAGTAAACCAACCGCTGCATCCACTTGTGGAACCATGAAGCAATACCAACGGCCTTTCTATTTAAACACCTTCCGTTGTTCCAACTAAAACCTTCATCTTTCGCCTTTCACCGTCCCGTTGGTCGCGTGAACGACGCGTCGTTCGCGTGACGTTGACGTGTGTCTTCGTAGTGGAGAGGAGTGGGTCCGGTGGGTCCCGTCGTCGGCCTCGGGGAATCTGGGGGATGACATCGCTGTGACATGCGGTGACTGAAGTGGCTGTGGGGTCAAAACCAGGAGACATCCGTTGACCTTTGTGGAAGGTCAAGCTACATGGTGTTGGGGCCCCAGGTTTTGACCCATCCCCAAGTATATGTCTCCAGTTGGCCACCTCGTCTCAGTGAATGGGACTGGTTGGCCACGCGGATTTATGGCGGATTTATGGGCTGGACATGGGTTTCTTGATGTTTCTTGACCTCTGGAAGAACCTGTGGGTGGTGAACTTCCCTCTGCGTTGGTGAAACAATGTCGTCTATGCTGCGCAGCTGGAGTCCACTCAGCTGGTCGTTGAACCCTGGTTGACGATGATCAGATGGGTTCTGGTCTTTGTTCCTTCTGCGAGGGGGTCGTTAGGAGGTCTCCCTGTTTTAATACCCGGACCAAATGCACTGGGTGAGGCTTTCGAACCACCCCCAGTTGCCTCTTGATCATGTTTGTTGTCCATCTGAGCTTGCAACAAAGTTGCAAGCTGGTTGGACGAATACGGCAGCGGTCCAAGACTGAGTCAAGCCTAAGGTATTGATTTGTGGCTTTCCCAAGCAGTAGAATCACCTGACAAGGAGGTTTCATGGCTTGCAAGGCTTGTAGATGATGTAATTGAGACAACAATGATGAACAATGTCACTTCGAACGTCACTTCAATCTGAAAATGGCCCTCGCTGCGATCAAATTCAGTCAGAACCCGCGTCAAATGACATGTTTGCTTTGAAGCTGCTTATGAAGGCAATAGCTTTGAACTGTTTGAAGCTAAACTCTGAATAGCTGTACGTAGTATAGGTGATGGCCATCGAAGCTGCAGGGAGACTCTTCAATCCGAACCAAAAACAATATGGTCTCTTTTTTTTCAGAATCGGTTTTAAGGGAATGTCTCCCAGGAAACCCAGAGTTTTGGGGTGAAAACAAACCTTTCGATCCTGATTCCTGCAGATTTTCCCTTAAACCCATGCATTGACTCCTGCTCTCGCAAACGTTCGGACATAGGAGTCGCAGAAGTCGTGTGAGCGGGAATCATGTGAGGTTCTGTCAAGTAATCAGCAAGGATGTGGTTTTCGAGTCTGAATCAACCAAATTGCATGATCTTTCACAGTTCATCTTTCCAACTTCCCCTGGGCATCTACTCCTCATTACCTTTCCCTCCACAGGTTATGGTAGAACTTCTGGTGGCAGCAGCTTTCACGGATTTTTGTCTGTGAAACAACCTCAGCACTTCAGCTTTGGGGCGAAAGCTCAAGCTTGTGCTGGCATGCATCGCGTGCAGCCAAAAAAAGAAGTGCTTTGGGGCTTGGACAAATCTTTTGCCTCATTCAAGCCATTCTTTGATCCATTTTGATCCACCTCTGTGCTGAAGTTCCAGGTGCTAAAACCAACCTGGCCGGACCTAGCAGGCATTCCTTTCACCTGCCGAGCAGGCAGCTTTTCTAGGGAGGTCCAGTTTTGAGCAAGTTCTGCAGGCGAACAGAAAGCACCGCATTGCAAATAGAAATGGTTCCTCAACATCATAATTGTAACCTTGCAATGAATTTTGCAGCATAACACGCAACAAACACCTACTTTCCAGGTACTTCAAACGCATCATACTTGTGGCACTACTTGTGGCTACCAAAAATGCTATAAATGATGGACTAGAGTAATAAGCTACTGCTATTCCTGGCATCTGTCATGGTATGTCAGCCCTAGCGACCGCTGCCTATCAACGACCGCTCTCAGGTCTACCCTTTGACCCACCAGGATTTGCAGCTCTAAACCGGGCACCCAGGTACGGCGAATTCACCCAGTTAGGAAGAACACCATCACCATCACCCGATCCAAAGCAAGGGATTCCGACAGATTCCGAGCCACAGAGTTCGGGCACACTTGAGGTAGATGTGGATCTAAACAGATGAGGTGCTTGAGCCACATGAGGTGATTATGAATCAGCCCTTCCGACCGATCTACTTGAGCTCGATGGACCGACAAACTTCTTTTCACCGTTGTTAACCCACACAAGTCGGAACCATGTTAGAGCATTTACACTAGTAATCCCTGCACCGCTACGCCATAATCCATTAAGCATGTTGCATGGTTGCCACACGCCCTGGCTTTGCTACTTTCAGCCTGAAGATTCATTCGTATCATCACAGAATATCACAAATCAACTCTTTTGAAGTTGGTTTGTCCCTGTGAGTCGCTATAACCAAACTTCAAACGATGTTGTTATACGTCATAGTATGTTGTCTGGCTTGCACTATCTTGCACTTACGTATGACTTTGCATAGGAAACATACCGAAACATCACATATCATCAAAGGAGCCAGGTGAACGCAGTATCATGTGGCCATTGCTCAACTATTCAACTCAACTGATGGACAACCTCGCATGAGGCCTGCAACTAGGACCGCTGAACTCTCAGCACGATATGCCACGATGATACAGTCGCGGGAGACATGTGCGTTACGCCAAATCTGATCCAGACCAACAGGCGTCTTGCAGTCCTTCTCAGGGGTTGCTGGATTTAAACTTGTGCTGCTACCAAGATTTGAAACTGTGATACGCTGAGACTGCCGCAAGGTCTTAGGAGCAAGATCTGGACCTTTTTGACCATATAAAACCTATGGGGCTATGGGAATCTATGGGAACCTCTATGCACTATCAACTGCTGTCGCACCGTGATGCCTTACATTATCTTAGATCTGGAAGCAGCCCATCTCTCAGCAATCCCTGATAATGCCGCGAACAAAAATTATGCATCCAACAAAACAGGGCATGCGGTCCGAGTTCTGTGGTGTCAACCAGCAAAATCGGATAGCACAAGGCTTCCAAGCTATAGATTAACTAGATCTTGAGTGAATCGACCAGTCTTTTGGACAATCTTCCATGTCGAACTTTGAAAACAGTCATCAACTCGAATCTCCAACTCGATCCACATGGATATTTTCAGCATCAAAACAATCTCACGATCGATCTCTTGCGGCGACCTGGCGAAGAGCCAGTGCTTTCCCGGTGCTAGCAGGAGAAAAGATCTTTCACGAAACGAAGGAGGTGTCTTGAGAAGACCACAAAGGATTCCGAATGATCTATCCAAATTAATGCTGAAGCCCCAATTGAAACGATGGTCAATTCCGAGAAACGATGAAGTCTCCAGGATGAAACGAAGATATTTGCTCCGTGGTTCATCCTGAAGCACAGGGGATTCCGAGAGAACGAGATCAACACCCTAAAGCCCTAGAAACCTTGGCACCCAAAGGGATGTGAGGGGCGTGCTGGTAATCAATGTATCGCGCTGTTCTACTGCAGTGGCAAATCAAATGTGACACAGAACATCAAAAAACCGCAAAAAACGACCAATAGATGTTCGACCAATAGAGTGTCTGCAACCAAAAACAATCAAACACAGGTGCTCTGTCTTCTGTGCACGCAAAAACAGGTGAACTGCTTCTCTCTCGCCCCAGGTGTTGCCACCGGAACTGAAACCGCTTCTCCACAGCCGGACAGTTGGTTCAGCACCTGCTTCAGCCTTCTCTCTCTCCAAGACCTGGCAAGAGCGACAGTGACAACAGTGACGACTGCCGCAGTGCCTAACGGGGTCTTAGCTCTTCGTTTGAGGAGGTTCTTCTTGGTGGAACAACAGAACTTGACCTGTCGCCTGCGTTTTACGAAGCTCGGAGAGCTCTCCCAGTTTGGTCTGATTCAAAAAAGTCTTCAATGCTGGTGTTCGCCTTTCGAGTTCCTTGTGGACTGCTTCAGTCTCGAAGCAACCGTCAAGGTAACACACCGTCCTTGCAAAGCAAGATTGATCATCCGCCTGAAGTAGATCAAACATCAATGACTTGGTCAAGCCAAAGATGTATCTGAAGGGTCATATCCAGGGTTGTTGGTCAATCCAAGCTCTGGGCTTGGAACCCAAGCTAATTGAGCAAATACAAAAGGCCCCGAAAGAGACCAAACATGATTCCACAGGATGCCCATTCCCCAGGCTCTTGGCCATGTTGGGGATTATGTTGTCGATCTTTTTCTCGCAATCCCAGCATCATTGGACTCCTGAGCCCAAACAAGGGCAAACCTTTTCCCGCCTGGTGCGTTTGAACGGGGTTCTCCAAGTCTCGGGGTTCTCCCGAGCCGATCTACGTACTTCCTGGTCTCCCTCCCATCCCAGGAGTTCTGCAGTGTTGTCCCACCCCGCCCTCGCCTCATGACGGGGTCGCCGGGCAGGCCTGCAAGGAAGAAAGAGAATACTTGTGTGGGTTCTTGGTCTATTGGAGCATGTAAGGGTCAAACTTGTTTGTTTTCCTCTGAATTACTGTGTTTCTCTGTTTCGAACATCAAGTCCTTTCTTTCCTGTGATATGTTGTTAGTGTGTGTGTGTGTCTGTTGAAGTGCCATGGTCTTAAAATAGCTGCCATGTACAAACAATGTCAAACAAAACTTATTGGGCAACCTGTGTTTGAACTTCAAGCATGCATCCAAACTCATCTAGGCTTGATGTAGAATCATAAGCATCTACAAGTTCAACAGCCTTTCCAAAGACTATGAAACACAACACATGTATAAATATATAGATTTGTGAAGAGTGGCGCGACCTCTGTCAAAGATGCAGGAAGTTCTGTTGAGGGCATATACACGGCAATCTTCTGCAACAACAAAAGGCTCCAGCCGCCTTTTGAAGCCTATGAAGATCGCATGAAACGGGCTGGGCCGGCAGGGTTCAAGGCGTTTAATTGATTTTTAGCCGATCTCCAAGACCCAGCACGATGGAACCCTCAACTTCTCCACTCAAAAGAAATTCTTCCTTGCGCTCTCCAGCGACAGCTTCAGCTCCTCCATTTGGCCCACTGTCAGCTTCTCCTCTCATGTCCAAAGCCAGAGCTTTGAAACCCTAAGGTTTTTAGGGGTTAGGGTTTTGAAACCCGGAAAAACGACCCACCAAACTTGGGACCCACCCGTCTGGCAGTTCTTCGAGCTCTTTGACCGCCGGATGTTCTTCGATCACGGCGCGCGGGACGTTCTTCAAAGGAATCGCTGGGGACAGGCTTTGCAGTGTCCCAGCGGATGGGCATCAGTCCAAGGCCCGAGAAAAGCACTGATTTGGTATGATTTAGGATCCTTTAAACGTTGAGATGGTCCGAAAAATAGAACTAGAAAAAACATGTATATAGTTATAAAATGTTATAAAATTCTTGAATTAAGATCCTTGAAGTCTCCCAACCAGAAAATACCTCGAAGTGCTCCGTGCTCCGTACCTGGCCCGGTCCCTGGAATTCGCTCTCAGAGTTCTCGTCACTGACGAACGCAGTGCTTGGTCAAGGAATCCCAGCCTCGGTCCCCAGGAAACCCATCGAGGAGACCAGGATCGGGAAAGCACGGGAAAGGGAGCTGCTCGGAATTGATTTTTGTCCGGCAGGCATTCTGTTATATTCTGTTGCGTCTGTTGGGAGAAGTTGCATTAATATGCATTGTTTGGAAGAATCTGGCAGGGATTTATGATGACTTAGGGATGTTCAGCCAATGTGTTGCATTCAGCTGGAAAAAGCTGCATTGTATGCATCTGACAGTTTTTTCCCGAAACTCCCAGGGACCTCGATGCAAGTAATTGGGTGATGGTTACGGGTCCCTACTGGAATTGTAGAACTCTTGGAATGTTACTGGGGCCGGGGGCTTCCTAAGTCCTGGGTCCAACGACAGTAGTACTTATAGTAGTCCTTTTCGGCCAGTCTTGATTGAAGCAAGCATACTCAGGTGGATGGCAATAGCAAACGACAGGTCCGACAGGAAGAACATCCAACTCACCTTCCGAGAAGTAGCAAGCGACCTTATGTGACCTTGGACCCGTCACCAGGAGGTACCGGATAGTCCAAACTCGGGTTCTTCAACCTCTGTTGGCGTGATGAACTTTGCAGTGCCCGTACGTCTCGAGACAAATGTCGGCTTCGCCAAGTCTCTGGAAACCAGCTTGGAAAAGCCCGACGGTCGTGTGGGTAGCGGCCAGAAATCAAAGTGGATCCAAAAGCACTTCAAGCATGTCAAATACAAATACATGCAGTAATAATGCTTACGGATTCGTTCCCCTTTGCCAAGGGCTCCTTTGGATTGAAGTCCCGATTTTTGGTGGCCGAGCTGCAGTAGTGTTTCTTGCAAAGGCACTTGTAGCTGCCATGTCCTGCCGTCAGGCTGTCGCACATGGTGAGTCCTCAGGGTCTCGGGCCGAGAACACCGGCAGGACTCAAGCATCGTCCACGCTCAAAGCAGGGAGGATAGGGAGGTCTCCAAAAGGGTGGTCGATATGTTTTCCCCTGAACCAGGACCTTCAAAGTGACCTAGAATGAGATCCTAGAATGAGGTCACGAATCGCCCCTAAAGAGGTCACAAACAGAGACTCCAAATAGATCACGTACGGCTCAGGTCCTGGAATATGCTTTTTCATCCAATCACCACCCAGTCGATTGCGGGTGGTGCTGGTGGTGCTGTCGAAGGATGTGCTGTGCTCATCGTCACGACATCCCCGAAAGGTCTCGAGTCTCGTCGATCCGTGCAATGATTTGGATGACGGCCCCATGCGGCCAAGGAATCAACTCAACAGAGCTGAGGTTTTTGTGGACAAGTCGTCTTGTGTTTTTTCTCAACAGAGCTAAGGTTTTTGTGGTCTCCTTCTCGAACAAGGTGGATTTGTTCATTCTTTTCCCTCGCATGTTTTTTTAATGATACGGCGACCACCGAGATCTACACGTCCGGGTCTCAGGAACTAGACATTGACTTCTGTGAAGTACGAATGTCCTGTCCCCACGAGAACACATCGGGGGATCTTGGGGGTGTCCGAACATGCACTACTTTTGAGAGATGTCGACCTGCAACCAAGCCCCATCCACTGCGCCCGGGCAATGGGAATGGGCCCAAGCACCTTCCAACCCTTTGGAGGGTTGTTAGGGCCCGAATACAGATTTAAATTTACATGTTGGAGGTGCTGGTATGATATCAATTATAAACAGAAACCAGTTTTTTTGATGTCCCAAGTCCAGGTAACAGGAGCAAAATTCCCAAGACTTTGTCGTCAAAAATGGAAGCGGCAACCACACCAGTCCAGGACCACCACAAAAGAGGAACACAACCTGCTACCCACACTGGCGCGGATACACTTTGGAGGAAAACATCTTTAAGGATGACACTCCCCCATGCCACACGCTTGAGAGATCTTCAGAATCATCGGCAGTGTTCATCGATCTCGCCGATCTCGAGCTTTGGGGCCCCATGGTGTTCTTCCAAAGTGGCCTTTGGTTCTCGAGTGGTCGTTTCTCAACCAAAAAGGCAAAGAACCAATCACAAAATGACAATATGATGAATGAGGTGTACATAGGTCCCTGTTCACCGAATTGCTCGATGCCAAGAAGGTCACTCCGATGACCAAGAAGGTCAATAATGGGTGATCTTGACTTGCTTGCTTCCACGGTGGAACAGTCACGGAACGGCCCGTTCGACCCCCCCCTGTCCCCCCGGGATCCGGTCGGGACGACGACCGCTCCGCTCTCGGCGAGCGGCCCATCTTTCGATCGCAGTCGGACCATCGGCAGGAGACAGCTGGGCGGATCGAGGGAGTCGAGTGGACGGCGTCAGAAGTGGAGTCGTCGGTGCCGGGTCTGGCTTAGCCACCCCAGAAGTGTGAAGCAGTGCAACTAATTAGATGCACCTTTTGCCTATATAGCAAAGCTCAGTCAAATCCTTTGAAGGAAGTCTTTTTGGGTGGTTCACCAGTCAAGGTAGGAGTGTCTTGGCAAGTTGGGTTTGTTGATGGATTTAGACCTAGACATTTCACCTGATTCTATTGCTGTGGATCAACTATAATGCAGCTTATTATATAAGGCACTGGCACCACAAAGAAATTATATATACAGTAGACTTCAGGTTCTAAAACACGTCTTGCTCCACCAACGGCTTCCCTTCTTCGATTTCCACGGCATGTCACATGGAAGTAGAACAAAGACTTCTGTTTGGTATTCGGATTTCATGGTCATCCAGGGGCCCATGAGGCCCATTACTCCACTTCTATGTCGTTCATCGGTAAGTAGTCCGAGGGCGCAACTGGATGGCAAAAGGGTCCCCCGGGCGATTTCTGTGAGCAGCATGTTTTGTTCTGGGCGATTTCGTGCATGATCTGACCACATTCTAACCACTTGGAAGGGCCGCTCAAGAAACATTTGATGAGGGAAACCACCATAGGTTGTCAGGAACAGCATGGCTTTGTGATGGATGTTTGGGGGGAGGGCGCCAGTCATACCGAACCTGAGGAGGTACGACTGGAGCCCGGTATGGTGAGTTGATTCGTTGGGTACGACGGGGCCACCAATTCCGCCATCCAACTCATTCCGCTGAGATCCCGCGCCAGTGTTCGTGACGCACTTATGACTGCAGGTGAGGCGAAACACATCGAAACAGGAAAGTGTCAGTTGGGCAGTGTGTGGAAGTGTATCCAACACTGGGCATGGTCTGGATTGAGTATACCAGCTATACAGCACATTACACCACTAGGACCAACCTTCTTCTTGAAGGTTACAAATTGAGAACTCTTTCTCGATTGAGGACACCACTGTCGACGCTGAACCCTTGTCGCCTCACAGGGTTGATCTTCCTCCCTCCAAAGCTGTGACCAACGAGGGTGATCATGGACCGTCCCACGGCTGATCCACGGCTGATCCACATAGATATGAGTGTATGATGTTATAAGACCCGGTAAGAAGAACACATTCTTTTGCTCCTGAAGTAGTGTGCCAATTTAAATACTTGACTACATTTGATTTATATCAGTGTCCGCCTCCAAAGCATACACTGGCAAGGGTGGACACTTAGTGGCATTTATCACCGAAGATATGGCTCTGGGAAGTCTTGAGTAATTAATCATCTGCGATTGCTCTGTTCGGGAGAACATGATCCAAGTGGATTCTGAGCAGGTCGAATGTGAACCCCACCCAACCAAAGTTTCTCAGCATCTTCTGTATGTAGGTGGATCGATTGAACTTAAAAATAAATAAAGGTCTGTACATGTCCAACTCCTCTGCTGTTTTCCTGCCCACAGGCCTCTCCGCCTCAGCCTGCTTCTGGAAATCAGCATACTTCATACACTTGCCATCCTTGTTGCAATAGCCAGGTCCACCTCAGTCAAGCCCAAGCATCTGTACCATGACACAGCACACCTAAACAAGGCCAAGGACCGGCTTTTCTTCTCTTT